GCAAGGCAGGTGGCAGATGTGGTGATTAATCTTGATTGTCAACTTAATTGGCTTGCAACACTGCAAGGGATTAGTAAGGCACAATTGTAGGTGTTCCTGGGTGGGTTATGATGTCATAACCTTGGGGATTATAGCTGTTCTCTGGCCCCCTCCTCTCCTGCTCTTCCCTTGCTCAGTGCTTTCTAGATGACATGAGTTGAGCAGCTTCGCTCTGACACACCATTCCACTATGACATTTCTGCCTGGGAACCAGCTCATTGTGGACTGAAACCTCTGAGATCATGATGTATTAGGTATTTTTTCCCAGCAATAGAAAACGAATGGTACATATGGTAAGTACATAAACTGCACAGATACAAGCGAAACAAAAGTCTGAAGAACTCTCAATCTGAAGAGCTGGTTCACGATATTTATTATGTATTCTGCACACTACACAGCTTTATTTATTAATATTTTTATAACATGTTATAATGTGTTCTACATAAAATACAACAGTATACATTTTGACAAATATATTCCTTTTCTCCTTGTGTTCAGTTTCTCTATGTCTATGGACTACCTAAAGGATGAGGAAAAAGTTTTCATTACATTTTCAAAATTGTAATTATCAAAATATATACTAGTGTGTAGTGTAAGACTTCCCAGTGCTGAGATGCGATAGTTACGATTATTCTACCCAGATCTCCGTGAAGTATTAGGGTTTTCAGGAGAAATTATGGCAGCCATTCTAATCCCTTGTCCTCTGTGAACACTACATTTTATTCTTCCCTCAACCAGGGAATTCAACCCCAATGGGCGAGATTAGTTTTGGGGGGGAAGAATGAATATACTTTTATATATAAAGCACAGATATAGTCCTAGGGAAATGGTAAAGAGTCTGTGATATTAAAATGACAGAGGAGTGATTGGGAAAGAAAATTAAAAATTCCATCAGGGGGTAGGTAATATTTTTAAAGGCTAAGTACTAGTCTAATTGAGTGAATTAAGGTTGTTCTTCACATACATATGCTGTTTAGTATTTAGCTGTATAGTAAAGGGAGGCTCGTCAGAGCCCTACAGCTAGCTCTATGTGTGGCCTTTTCTTCTCTAATCCTTCCCTGAAATCTCTTGTCACCTTGGTCAACCTGAATTCTCGGTAGCACCTACTCATTTCTGAGATCTGCTAGGCTACCCTTAGGTATCCCATTCCTTGCACTGCTGTCCAAAAACTCTCTGAAGCTAAAAGTGGAGACAATCACAGCACATATCTGTTGCATTTGTTTTCCATTTTTCAGAGATCGCTTTCAAATGGTGCCAATGCACTAAAAAACATTATATTGTGTATTTTGTCTGGTTTGAAGTCATTTTATACAAGAGAATAAATATGCTACTATCCCATCTTGGCCAGAATTGAAGTAAGATATCACACACACACACACACACACACACACACACAGACCATGTATGAATCATTTCTTAAAGGCCTGCAAAAAAAAGGAAAATTTAGCTTAATTATGTTCAGATTATGGAAGAACGACAACCAGAAAAATTAGGGATTAGAAATATCCAGATTTGCATTTTAACCTATTTTGTTTAAAATTATTTTGTAATATTTTATCAAAGCAAACAAAGCCTTTGTGTGATTTGCAGAAATGGAAATAATTGAGTGTTTTACTTTACTAGCTAAAAAGTTAAAATGTAATGTTAGTAGTACAGTGTTATGTAATTAGATGGTATTATTTTAAGAATTCTTAAATGTTAGTAATACAAGCTGTTATAAATGTTCATATTTCAGAAACATCGAGTACGTACTTTTGTACTCATAGAACAAATAGTAATGTTTAAGCGTAAGTATCAACCCGATTGCCTTGGGAGCTGCTCAAGGGATTGGTAAGCACGTGTCTGAGGACATGCAGGTGAGGGGTGGAGACATGACCTTGGGTATCATATCTGGTCCCTGGCCCCCTCCTCTCTGGTACTGTTCCCATTTTGCTTCCTGGCTGCCGTGAACCAACTTTGCTCCGCCATGATGTTCCTTCCCTGGAGTCGGCTGACCATGGACTGAGCCCTTGGAAAGCATGAACCAAATAAACATTGCCTCCTTTAAGTTGCAGGTGCCGGGCATTTTATCCAGCAATTGAAAACAACCACACTCACATTTAACAAAAAATAATAATAAAATGTAAAACTATAATTTTAGTTTACGAGGAATTTATGGGCTATAAAACGTTATCAATAGAAGAAGTATTTCATCACCATATTTCCCTGACGATATGATTGAGGCATGATAAACCCTGCTACTGGACTTAGTAATAGCAGCGCTAACCTTGTTAATTAAACACCATCTGCATTTACACTCAAGTAAACCAATTTAAGGCCTACCAGTGGCTGTTCTAATAACACATCAGAAAGGAGCATAGCTTCAGCTACATCTGTTAGGAGCCATGTGAGGTAGAGAAAAGTTTGAACTATTTGTTATTTGATATTTTGTCAGCAGAAAAACCATTTGATTCTTGGAATAAGATATTGTATTTTATTTTTTAATTTTTTTTTTGGTACCGGGGATCGAAAGATATAACAAAAAGTTCATACCTTTTCTTTAAAATTAATTGTGAAAACGGCACTTAATAAAATGCCCAATCCATCCAAAACTGACCAAGAAGATAGTACATTAAACAACCAACTGCTTATATTTTGATTTAAAATGTGTCAAACCAAGCTCATCAACATACTTATCGCTTTGTGACAAGAATATTTGAAATTCACCCTCCCAGCCACAAGGAAATGGAGAGTACCCCGTTATCACCTGTAGTCACCACACTAGTGAGATCTGAAAAATAAGTAAATAAATAAACAAATAAAAATAAAGTAAAAAAAAAATAAAGAAACAAAATCAAACTTATTCCTCATATCTAACTGAGGCTTTGTATCTTTTTATTACCATCTCTCCATCCCTCCTCACTCCAGCCATTAGTAATTACTATTCTGTTCTTCATTTCTGTGAGTTCAATTATTTTAGATTCTACATACAAGTGAAAACACGCAGTGCTGGCTTCTCAGTGTTTGGTTTCTTTCACTTAGCAAAATGTTTTCCAATCCTATTCATGTTGTGCAAATGACAGCACCTAGCTGATTGTTAAATGGTTTCTCTGTCATAAAACTTTAAGTATATACATTCATACAAATTTTTAATTCGAGCAACAAGTAAGCATTTATTTTTTCTTTTAATTTTTGTTTAATAATTAAAAGGAACAACTTACTACATATAAATGTCAGGTCATAAAAAGGAAAACAGATCTTAATCACAAAATATACAAGTGTAAAGTAATGCACAAACCAGTAGAGAATATTACTTATCTGCATTTTGTATAAATTAGCCGGAACACATTTGTAATTTAAACTTTCCATAATTTCCCTTAAAATAATTTTATTTTGCACCAAAAATTAATTTATTTTCAAATAAAAGATAAAGTTTATAAATTAGTACAGAAGATTGATGGTAGATCAAGCATCAATGTAATTTGATGCTTTCATTTTGCTGTCTTTCAAGAAGAGAAGAGAACCGCGTGCTGTGGTGCTAAACACTCTTTAATTCTGTAAAATGTCAGCTACCAAAGTCTTCTGTGCAATAAAATAAATGCCTTTAAAAGTGTCAGTGTTTACATAATGCCTACATTGACTAATTAAATGTATTATATCTTTGTCGAATTCTTCCCCATCCTGCATAGATCTTTGAGAAAAAGCAAAAAAATCATTCACTAAAATGTGTCCCACATACATTATTATATGAAGAGGATAGCATAGTAGAAATAATAATCCTTCGTCATTTACTGAAACATCAGTAGAGATGAAGTATTCTGAGAAGATATTTTTTGCTGGGAGTAGACTTAAGACGGAGAGTATTAATATTCAATCTTTCAAAAATAACACAGGAAGATAACAGTTTAGTTATTTAGTAGTAATACTAGATTGGTATAGTTCTAACTTGCCCTGATGTGAAAATTACATGGTCTAGTTAGTCCCTGGAAGCCAGTTGGTATCTGGGTTATGCAAAGTAGTGCGTTGTTTTTATATGCTTGGTTTACTGAGGCCAAAGGGTGGTTCGGTGCAATTGCCAACTAACCACTACCTCAATATTAGTTCCTGAATTGTCCCAATAAAGTTCATTCCAATCATATGCTATTCTGGGGTTTGTGGAAACCTTAACGAGATATGCTTCAGTTGATAGTGTATCTTTAATCTAGGGTATCTATAAGAATTTAGTTCTGTGATCATAAACCTGTGCTTAACGGCAGCCTTATCATAACACAGATTTAACATCATGCTATGCTTCCTTGGAATGAGTAGCCTCAGTTTATATTTCAAAAGAGATTAGATGAAAGTATACTATACGATGATACTCATGCCTAGAGCAATTCAAAATTTAGAAAAGGAATTGAATCTAATTTTCCTCAGAAACTGAAAAGACATTTTGTACAATATAGTGACAGGGAATCCCAGGTATTGGCAATAACCATTAGAAAAAATATTGGGTGAAAAGGAAAAACTAACATAATCTCACAATATTGGGGGATAAATTAATGTTTCACTAAGATATTGGTATCAATAAAGGATAACTCAGCATAAGAAATAGTGTTCACATCTGGTTAATTTAGTTAAAAACATAATCACAATTTATAAAAATTATAGTAATTATGAATTACAAAGAAAATAGGCAGACTCTCTTAATATCCTCTATATAACTTGATATCCATCAATTTTCTGTCCCATTACAAAATTTAATATTAAAATTTAATACTTAACATTTGATATTGATTTCAACATTAAAATCTATCAAAATGATTAAAAACAGTTGATTAGAAAAAGCAATACACCGAATGTAATAACATATCCAGGCCTCTATTGAATTGCATTGATCATCAGCTAGGGAAAATAGAATTATTAATTTCTAGTATGCCACTTAGTGCTGACTTCCACAACGATGGAAATGCCAGTGTCAGTGATCTAAGAAGCATTTCCTGTCTCATATGTATCACCAGGGGAACAATACAGGGATCTCAGATAAGTTTCCAAGTAACATAAAACATTAGAGTCGAACTTTGTCTTTGAACCTGAAAAAATTTCTGTTCCATTTTTAAGTAAGTAGGATCAGCACTTCATGGCCTTTTTCTCAGGGAAAAACTACAATTATTATACAAATTAAATCTCTGCTTTGGAAGAGAGCATTCAAACTGCGGGACCTGATCAACAGTGATTCATGACCCTTCTTAAGTCACTGGTGTGGTGATCAGTGGTGGTGCACTTGTCTCACTGAGGACAGAAGGGCCTCGGGAGCACCTGAGGCTGCAGGACTCCAGCAAGTTGATGGCTTTGCCACCTCCCATGATGGCAGGAACAGTACTAGGAAAGTCTCAGCATGGATCAGCCACAGCTGTCAATCAGAAAACAAAGTCTTTCTGACTTTTACCATTTGGATACTGAGCGCGCTTTCCAGGACAGCCCTAGCACTCTTCATTTTTTGAGACTTTTGACTCACTTTCTTTGTGTAACTTTCTCTGTTGATAAATGTGTATGGCTATAGCAGTGATGCAGAGCAAAATGAATATCACAACTGCTATCACACCTAGGGAGGGAAGAGAATAAAAAAACACGAAGTCAGAATACAAATGGTGACTCTCACCCCAACTAATGGCTTTGCTGATACCATTGCTTAATAAATTACATTAAAGCAGAACAATCACTTACTACTGTATCATAAGTCGGAATATCAAAACTCATGAATTTTATGTGGTTTTATAATATTTGGGATACTTCTGAGTTATTACAAGCCTTGTACTAGCTGTAATAACACTCTACTGTATCATAAGTCGGAATATCAAAACTCATGAATTTTATGTGGTTTTATAATATTTGGGATACTTCTGAGTTATTACAAGCCTTGTACTAGCTGTAATAGCCTTTTCTTTGAAGGTGTGATTGGAGTTCAATAAATGCTTTCAGATTTAAAGCATGAGCACAGACGCAGAGGAGTCTCTAAGTCCACGTGCATCCTCCAGTTAATAGGTGAGAAGTTTTAAATTATTTTAAAAGCACAGTGTATGTAGCACCACTGTACAATAAATGCTATTTTTAGAATAACTGAGTACATCTTACTGAAATTGTTTTAAAAATATTTTATATTTTTGCAGTTGCTGGGGATGGAAACCCAGCACCTTTCATGTACTAGGTAAGCACTCTATCACTGAGACACATCCCCAGACCTAAAATGCTCTTATTTTATTCTTTTGAAATGCAGTAGTGTAACACTGCATTTCCCTTTGTAATCAGTTCCATTTGCCAAATACATCGGAGAGATATTTATTAAACTTATTTAGGAGGAATGTGGGTTACTTGAAAGACCCAGGTTGTAAATGTTGTAAACTATAGACACCAGTAGCTACACCAGTGATTCTCGAACCCAGCTGCACTTAGAATCAATAAACCAAGAAAACTGAGAGGGAAGCCTGGGTGTCAGGATCTTCTAAACGCAGGCTTTAATTTAGCCAGATTGCTAAAACATCCACCCAAAGCTGTTTGTTAAACAATCGTGTGAGTGGAGAAGGAGTGTCAAATCAATTTACAGCTGAATGAATGCGCAGACAGGCAAGCTTTTGCTGTCCACATAACACATTTAAGATAATTCACAAAGGTACTGACTTCTGTCTACAGCCAGTGAGTGTTGAAAAATGAAAACCGACTTCGAGCAGGCTCAGGAGAAGCCTCCCTTCCACACACGCCTTTTCCCTCCTCTCCATCAGGACCGATTCAACCCTAGGAGGGGGACCGTTCCTCAGCGATATCCCTGCACTTAGTAAGTCTTGTCAGTGGTATTTGATGAGAAGCAATAACACAGAGATAAAATGCTTTCTTCTGTTACCAACACGCTCACTACTTCAGCTCACAGAAGGCCAAGCACGAACTCTGGCACCATATAAACACTTGGAGAAGGTGGCAACCTGTTCTGAAAGTGGTGTGCACTCTGCAACTGCTTTTGTATGGCAATGGAAAACCTTCTCCAATAAATGCAGGATCTATTAAGGTTTAGATGTGCTTTAAAACTGAACACAAAACTATTGCTTTTAGATAAGAGCTATTGACCATATTCCCGGGGAAAATTGTTTAAAAGATTTGTTCACTGGGTTACGCATTTTTTATTATCCTTCACAGATTTAAAAGAAAAAGTAATTGAGATAGTGATAGAAGTATTAATATGCTAAAAATAGCTATTCAGGACTTTATAACATCTAAATTGCTTCTTTTTGGAGGAAAATGTTTACTTTTGTATTGTAATTGGAGAGTCTAAAGAACTTAATAACATGTCAAGAATCAATTAATTGAGGAAAATTGAACTCTTATTTTGTACACCAACAGTGGGTAAATTATATTTCATTATATCTCACTCTTTTCACTGCCGAAATATACATTTAGATTGCTTTTAATCTTACTTTCCTCCAATTTAAAATAACCATTACACACCCAGCCTAAAAGATTAATTCTAAGGTACAATTAAAAGTGAAATATATAGTGGCCATCATCATACAGATCATGAATGTATACAATGACACTGAACCGTATATTAAAGATAAGGCACTTTATGTGTATTTAAAGTTTAAAATGTGAAATATCGTCCAGGGAAGCATCTAGAACATGCAAACGGCCCCTTTCATTAAAAAAAAAAAGTGTCATAAATCCGTGTGTTGTGACCACAATCACAGCCTAGGTTTGCACTGTAATTACACGTCGTTACACGTAGCTCACCCAAAGAGCCGTTCGGGACTTTTACACACATCCCATATGTTCTAGGGAATATTTCCAAATTAAGAACTTTTCATTAAAAATTATGTTTTAAGGGCCGGGGATTTAGCTCAGCGGTTCGGTGGCCTGCCTTCCAAGGGCAAGGACTCAAGTTCAATCCCCGGTACAAAAAAAAAAAAAAGTTTTAGTGGAATTCTTTATCTCCAAGGAAGGAGAAATTAGGAAACATCAGCTCTGAAAACCGACTCGAAACAAGCAGCCTTTGGTCTCCTCACTGAGTGCTGGTTCTCGGGTGCATTTGTCTATTACACCAGTGCACTAATTCAGGTCAGAAGGGATAAACACTCCAGCCTGTTACCTCCGATGACCCCCGAGTCCCTTCGGGCTGCGCGAAGGAAGGGCTCTCCCTCCTCGGCTGGTCCTGAACGACCTACGGGGCAGAAAGGCAGAGCGGCAGAGAGGAAAAAGGGGCATTTGGGAGTCGTTCCCAGTCACTGGCGGGAGCCGCAGTTCCTGCGCACAGGGCCAGGGCTCAGCGGACAGGGGACGAGGGACGAGGGACGAGGGACAAGGGACACGCACCTGC